GATTTTATTGAGAAAAACGAAAAACTTTATGAAGATTTGATCATGTCCCGTTTTACATTCCTCAAATAATGATACTTTATTACTTATATTTACATTTGTGACTTATTCATACTTTATATTTGCCTGATTGTTACTTTTAACGTGTGAAATGCATTAATTTTTCAAACCCAACGGCATGTATATAATCCACTAAACGCGCGTCGACCCTTTATGACGTCACAGAGAAATTACGTCGAACGTTTATCCAAACGCACATCTATGACCTCTTGACCCCATACCTGTATTTACACAGTTATAAAAACGCTTGTCTTCAGTAGTGTTATATAAAGGAAACCATTTGCAAATGTAAATATTATTAAATAAGTCTGCATTTCTGCTACTGGTTCACTTTCTTTGTTCCTAATGAGTAATCGTTCATTTTCAATTTCCATAATCCATTATTTTACCTTTTACAGCGTTTCCTCAGTTAATTAATCAAGCTTTCAAATCAGCCATTGATCATGTTCATTTTTTTTTTACTTCAGTTGACAATTAATTCCAAATTTTAATCGTATATTTTAACAAGAGGCCCATGGGCCACATCGCTCACCTGAGTAACTTGGCTGATGCAGTTCTTTACCTGATTCCCCCTCTTGTTATACCTATCCTGTCCCACTAGCCCTTTCCTTTTATGATTTTCAAACTTTAATGATTTTAAAAGTGGTTCTTTTTTAAAGATTTGTTTTATATTTCTATGTAAAACTTGGATTCCCTATTGTGGCCCCGCCCTACCCCAGGGGGTCATGATTTAAATAATTTAATATCTACACTACCCAAGGATGCTTCCACATAAGTTTCAGCTTTCTTGGCCCAGTGGTTCTTGAGAAGAAGATTTTTCAATATTTGTTCTATATATTTCTATGTAAAACTTGGATTCCCTATTATGGCCCTGCCCTACCCCTGGGGGTCATGATTTTTACAATTTAACATCAACACTACCTAAGGATGCTTCCACATAAGTTTCAGCTTTCCTGGCCCAGTGGTTCTCGAGAAGAAGATTTTTAAAGATTTGTTCTATATATTTCTATGTAAAACTTGGATTCCCTATTGTGGCCCCGCCCTACCCCCGGGGGTCATGATTTAAACAATATAATATCTACACTACCCAAGGATGCTACCACATAAGTTTCAGCTTTCTTGGCTCAGTGGTTCTTGAGAAGAAGATTTTTAAAGATTTGTTCTATATATTTCTATGTAAAACTTGGATTCCCTATTGTGGCCCTGTCCTACTCTCGGAGGTCATAATGTTAACAATTCAATATGAACACTACCCAAGGATGCTTCCACATAAGTTTCAGCTTGTTTGGGTCAGTGGTTCTTGAGAAGAAGATTTTTTAGTGACCCCACCCTATTTTTGTCTTTTCTTGATTATCTCCCCTTGTAAGGGGACTTGGTCCTTCATTTTAACAATTTAAACTCCCCTTCACCCAAGGATGCTTTGTATCAAGTTTGGTTAAAATTGGCCCATTGGTTCTTGAGAAGAAGTCGAAAATGTGAAAAGTTTATAGACGGACGGACGGACAGACGGACGACGGACAAAATGTGATCAGAAAAGCTCAATTGAGCCTTCGGCTCAGGTGAGCTAAAAACTATTCATATAGAAGAAAGTTTACTGTTCAATTTCTTAAATTTATTATACTTCCTTTGAAAATTGTTTTTGTTTCTAAAATTTCAATTCTTCTTTTCAATGTTACATAAAATTGTCACTGGTATGGATACAAGGCGCAGTCACTTAGATTTATTATATTTACACTCAAGGAGAATTTATGAGCAAAATCTTTTGAATTTTGATCAGAAATACGAAAAAAAAATTAAGCGCTGTAGCCTTGCAACAAAATCTGCTTAATTATCTTTCCCGATTTCTTACAGAACTAGTGTGTTCCAAGGAACACATGTGTCGCCTGCATTTAGCTTCATTAAAGATGTAGTTTAGTGTAAAAGGGGTCAGCTATTATTTGCTACAGCATGGCATATATGAGGGTTGTCCCGTAAAATTGTGGACAAAGCGTTTTTCTCGAAAAGTAATGAGCGCACTAAGCTGAAAATTTCAGTATATGTTTATTTATCTTATTTGAGTGCATGATAATTTTTTTGATAAAATAAAGATTTTATTATGCTTGAATGTGCACGGGTCATTGTCCTACGGCGCACGGTCAAAAACCAAAGTTTTATTAAAGAATACACAAGTTTGAATTCAAAATAAAAGTTTTAAATACAAAAGATTTAAATTAAAATTATCTTAATTTAATTCCACAATATACCTGTGTAAAAATCTGCATTTGGTTAATTTTTATATCTCAGCATTCGAAATGGGAAAGTGGTAAACACAACACACGCAAATGGCGACGTTTTATGACGTTACGTATGAGAACAATTTCTTTATTTCGATGTTGTAATGACACCTTATTGAAATGACCATAGAAGAAAACAGATTATAAAAATATCACCATATCTTAAGTATACAAATGAAATAGAAGTTTTCTTAGCGCAGTATTTTTTTATCGAGTCCCTGGGGAGTACAAAACATACAAACTCCTAATGTAATAGCAAAAGACGCTGTAACAGTAAACCGCCGATATGAGATTTTCTATCAGTTGAATGATGATGAGAATTTCGTCCGTAACTTACTAATAAATCTTCAGAAGATCAATTGTTAGTTCATTATTTTATACACTGAATGTGTATTCAATATTCAATGAAATTTTTTCCGTTATTTTCAGCAAAGATAAAACGTGACAATGAGCACACGTTATAATCCATGCGCCGTAAAGTGATACAATACATGGCATAATTATTGATTTATGCATATATATTTACATTTGCAAATGTTTTCCTTTATATAACACTACTGAAAGGAATGCCCACCTCTGTATGTTTACAGGTATGGTCCGAGGTCATAGATGTGCGTTTGGATAATCGTTTGACGTTTTGTATATTTGTAATGGGTCGACGCGCGTTCAGTGAATTACATACATGGAGTTGGGTTTGATTAATGCATTTCACACGTTATCCTTATGCAAATATAAAGTTACATAAATGTGTCACTGGTATGGATACAAGGCGGAAATCAGAAAATCGCAAAATCAGATAGTGAAAATATTTAACACCAACGTTTACACTCAAGGAGGACATATAGTTAAGAGCGAAAATAAGTTTGTTAGAATTTTGATCAGAAATACGGAGATCATTAAATGAATTAAGCGCTGTAGAAATCTGATGCTGATGTAGATGATACAAATAATTTTTTCTTTGAAAAAGATTTAATATCATGTCACAAGTTTAGAAAAATGGATCGTTCTTAGAATTTTTATTAATTAGTAATATGTCAATGAAAAAACAAATATAGACAAATCAAATTCAGTAAAGGTTTACAGGTGAAAAAAAATTCAGAATATGTTATCTTTGTGCTAAAAGTGTAATATTAACGTAAGAAAAATATATCAAGCCAGGTGAATTTTATTAGGAACAGCTCAATTGTAAAAATTAGCCTATGTGATATTGCTAATTTTTTGTCATTTTGTTCTTTCTCTTAAAATTTAACTGGCTTGGTTTTTCTAAAGTTTATATAACACTTTAATCACCAAAGTAACATATTCTGAAAATTGTTTTCACTTGTAAACATTTATTGACTGTGATTTGTCTAAAAATCAACAGTTTAAAATCTTCCGACTTTTCCACTTTATACACAATTCCCCAACGACATATAAAATTCAGGCTTTTTGATATCATTGAAAGGAACAAAAATGCAACTCGTTAATTTACTTTCCTTGTCATTGGTAATTTCAAAATGAATTTGTTAACCAGATTCTGATTGCACAAATAAGTCCTGTAGATCACTAAATTTTTCGCGACACCTTATTTTCGCGAGATAGTCATTGACTCTTGATTAGCGAGACAAAATTTTCACGAATTGTGGCTTTTGTTCTATATAATCTTAAGGAATACTTTTATACGCGAGAATTTAATTTTCGCGAGCACACTCTCTCGCGTAATTACGCGAAAATAAAGTTCTCGCGAAGTAAAAGTGATTTACAGTACTCTGAAGTTGACTTCAAGAAGGTGCTTGAGTTTCTGATTGACAATATCTTTTTGGTTTTTGGAGACCAGGTATTCAAAAACTCTATTGGAATTACCATGGGTACAAATTGCGCTCCGTTATTATTTTAATATTCATATGAAGCAGAGTTTATGCAAAAGTATAATGCGTGAAAAAAAGAAAACAGAAACAGTTGCTGTGGCCTTCAACTCCACATTTAGATATATCGACAACCTATTGTCAATTAGTAATGGTAGTTTCCATTCCTAAGCCGATACGATATATCCTGTTGAGCTTGAGATACCACAGAGTCCGACACTTCTGTTTCATACTTGGACATTTTACTTGAAAAATTTACTTACATTTCTCCAGATATAAGGTGTAACATACGGACATACGGATAAACAGCAAGACAGACAGACTTCTCAATAATTCAATGTGTAAATAATGGTCTAAAAATCAGTATTTTAAAAAATAGTCAGTCATTATTTGACTTAATGATAGATTGTAATTGCTGACAAAAATCATGGTATCGACCATAGAGCCATTGGATATCATTTAAATAACTGACCTCAGGACATCTTTTGGCTCAAATTAAACTTAGAGAACTCAGGATATTACAAAATGATGACTCTTTGCTGAAATTTTTGTAAACCGACTAGCACTACCTAAACAACTTAAACAGTTAGAATTATAGGAATTCCAAGGAGTTGCAATTGCAGTATTGTTTGTCGTATTCTTTTGAGTATAAATGAACTTTGATACAGAAAATTGGATTAAGAATTACGACATATTTTTAAGGAGGAAGTCAACCTTCGGAATGCTACATTAAAATGAATATAGCTTCAAAACTCCCTTGAACTGTAAGTAATCAATTAAAATTGAAATGCCCTAAGCCAAATAAATAAAACTCAGAAGAACTAAATTAACATGAAAACAATATGTTATAAAGGCATGCTAGCTGTTAATACATTTAATAATCATTTTTGTAGGTAATATAAAGATTTAATAGGAATAATCTTATAGCTGATGACAATCTGACTCAGTTTCTGTGTCTGATCATCATCTGAGTCAGTTTTAATGCTTCGTTAAACTTCCAGCGCTTCCATGTCGGGTATTTCCAATCAAAAAGAGCATAACGAGCGTACTCCCCATTAAGGTTTGAGCGGTGACAGTCGTAGTACCACCAGGCACCGTGGAATTGTACAGCACAGTCACGACTGTCCAGGTCATTATCCTGATCCTTTGTACTAAATTCATTACCATTGTGATAAGTGAAACTGTCACCTTAAACATAGTGGACGATAAGTTACAAATAAATATGTAATTTATGCATTGTTTTAATCTATTTTGAAAATTCCACACGTATCATTTCTTCACGATTTAAAATAAACATGCTAAAATTGAAAAGATTAGAAGGGGTTGGGGGTCAAATGATACGCACGCTCACTCTTCTCAGCAGAGGATTACAAATATGTAAATAAAGCCCCCTCTTTGAACAAGCATCATTTAATTACCAATGAACTTTTCAAAAAAAATAAGTGGTTGTTATCTTTAGTTAAATGTTCAATATGGCGCATGTCACTCTATATATAAATACTTATATATGCGGTGCATAATATAAAATGGTTACTGAAATGTATAAATGAAAAAAAAACGGGTTCAAATTCTGTTATATTGAAAACACGTTTATTCTTCGTAAAAAATAATGTATTCACAGGAAGCCAGCATCTTTTTTTTTAAATAATCTAATATCAATTGCCCGAAAGGTCTTTGAAAACACAATTTTGAAATTGGTGCTTTATCATGTTTAAGAACAATTTAATCATCAATAATTGAAATGTGTATGTACTTCTTCCAGCGACTTAATTTTTATGAAAGTATTACAACACATGGTTATATTTCTCAATTACTATCTTTCAAAGAAACGGACAGTTCTACTACATATCATACAGTTTACGTTTAACACCGTATTGTTAAAGGTAATATTATTCTTTGAATTACAAATATAAAAATGACTTTTCTTCTGGAGTAATGCAGTTTTTTTTCATAATATTTCTTAATCACAAATGTACCGCACTGTTACAAACGTAAAATTAAGTTCTTGTGTTAGCAAAAAATGATACTAATGGTCTTTAAATCATATTTATTCCAGTGAAAAAATTACCTGCAGTTCCTGTGTACCCGGATACGGTGAGCTGGTATTTAGCAGCTTCGTTTCCTATATAAAACATGGAATATTCAGCATACGCTGTGTCCCCATTAAATCTCTGGAGATCTACTCGCAGTTCCTGGTCCTGATCTTTGGTTAATGCATGAATTGCATCATTCCCTTAATGACAATTAGAAAGAAAACTATTGAAATTGATGTTTATTACTAATAATTAGAATCTGCTTTTATCCTCTAATATGGCTTGGTTCATGAATTGACATATACAGAATAAGTTATACTGAATAGTTAGAGGTTCCTATTGTTAGAGATTTAATGGGTCGTGCTGAAAGTTAAATAACAGCTTGAATTGGTGGCACCATTTTATATTTCCTTGTTTTATAAATCAAAACAATATAAAATCAATGTTGATTATCTATTCTGTTTTTATTTCGACTAAGCAATTCCTATGATTACCTTGTAGTTAATTTATTTGAGATATAGGTTTATTTCTGTCAATGCTGGTTGATTGTTTGTTTTGTTCAGTTATTTTTTATTTCATATTCTGCTACAATTTTCAATAAAGATTGAAACCCAATATTTCTAGAAAATTAAGAATTATAGGAATAATAATAATAATAATAATATCAAGTGCATTAGACAGATGCTTGAAAATCAAGAGTTGTAGGCATAATAATAATATCCATTGTATACAATATTATACAGTTTGATAGTAAACATGTATGACTATAATTACTTTGATCTCAATAAATGGTTGATTGTTTGATATATTGAAATATAAAATACATGGTTATTTTTTAAATATAATCATATTTGGGCGAGGGTTCTGCTACAATTTTCAATAAAGATTGAAACCCAAATATTTCTATATTTCAAAATTAAGAATTATGTTTATCCTGAATAACATTTGAAATAATACATTATAATAATAATAATAATAATAATATCAAGTGCACTAGACAGATGCTTGAAAATCAAGAGTTTATTAGGCATAATAATAATTAGGTTACCTTTATTGTAATACAATATTAGGATAAATATTTTTATCCTGCAATGGATTGACCTAATAAAGGTAACCTAATGAAATAAAAAATAAAGCTGAACAAAACAAACATATCAATGTTTACGCCACTTGCATGTCAACAATGACAGAAATTATATATACAGTTTGATAGTAAACATGTATGACTATAATTAATTGTCTTTGATATTTGGGCTTGTACTATAAATGAGTTTTCACCCTCGCCCAAATATCGATATATTTCAAGAAATATTTTATATATTTAACGCTTTAAAAACTACAACTCCCGATCATGGAAAAAGGAAAGAAACAACAAACAACAAGAGGTCCAGGGGTTACAACGCTCACTTGAGCAAATCGGCTAGGAAAAAGCACATATCAGATCAGAACTGAAAGTTAACTGAGGTGGAGGGGGCTTGAATTTAACCCCAAGAGTTTCATAATTTGAACAAAGTAGAATCTACACTACCTGAGGATAATTTCACATGAGTTTCATCTTTCCTGTCTAAATGGTTCTTGAGAAGATTTTATAAGAGTTTTCTTATATACATATTCCTATGTAAAGCTTCGGTCGGCCATTTTGGCCCCACCCTAGCCCCGGGGGTCATGATTTGAACAAACTTGAATCTACACTACCTGAGGATTATTCCAAATGAGTTTCATCTTTCCTGGCGCAGTGGTTCTTGAGAAGAAGATTTTTAAAGATCTTTCCGATATATTCCTATGTAAATTTTGGGTCGGCCATTTTGGCCCCAAGATATACAAACTTGAATCTACACTACATGAGGATGATTCCACGTGGGTTTAATCTTTCCTGGCCCATTGGTTTTTGGGAAGTAGATTTTTAAAGATTTTCACGATATACTCCTTTGTAAATTTTTAGTCGGCCATTTTGGCCCCACCCTAGCCTCAGGGGTCATGCTTTGAACAAAATTGAAACTTCACTACCTGAGGATGATTCCACAAGAGTTTCATCTCTCTGGTCCAGTGATTCTTTAAAAGACGATTTTTAAAGATTTTCCTTATATATTCCTATGTAAAATTTGGGTCGGCCATTTTGGTCTGACACCCGTCCCGGGGGTCACGATTTGAACAAACTTGAGGATAATTTCACATGAGTTTCATCTTTCGTGTCTCAATGGTTCTTGAAATTTGATTGATTGTATATTGTTTAACGTCCCTCTCGAGAATTTTTCACTCATATGGAGACGTCACCGTACGCCGGTGAAGGGCTTCAAAATTTGACCTTTACTCGGCACTCAGGGCAATTGAGCATTGAGGGATCTTTATCGTGCCAACGCATGCCGCTGACACGGGGCCTCGATTTTTATGGTCTCACCCGAAGGACCCGCAACTTTCACTTCAAAGTGCCGAGCGCATGGCGAAGGAACGGTTGCTACCCATTTTAACGACTAGGTCAGTCGCGGCCGAGATACAAACTCACGACCTCCCAATCACGGAGCGAGCGCTCTACCGACTGAGCTACCGTAAACGGTGGGTTCTTGAGAAGAAGATTTTAAAAGATTTTTCCTATATATTCCAAGGTAAAACTTGGGTCGGCCATTTTGGCCCCACCCTAGCCCCGGGGGTCATGATTTGAACAAACTTGAATCTACACTACCTGAGGATGATTCCACATGAGTTTCATCTTTTCTGGCCCAGTGGTTCTTGAGAAGAAGATTTTTAAAAAATGCCATGAATTTTTCTCTTATTCATAATTATTTCCCCTTGGAAAAGGATGTGGCCCTTAATTTGAACAAACTTGAATTCCTTTACCCAAGGATATTTTGTAGCAAGTTTGGTTGAAATTGGCCCAGTGGTTCTTGGGAAGAAGATGAAAATGTGAAAAGTTAACGACAACAACGACAACAACAATGACAACGATGACAGACAACGGACAAATTTCGATCAGAAAAACTCACTTTCGCCTTCGGCTCTGGTGAGCTAAAAAAGACACAGAAGATGAATAATGAAGAAAAAGAAAAAAAAACTCTCTTTAGACTTCTAATATTATGTTCTGAAAAGGAATCGATGCGTCCACTTAACCTTTATTTTCATTTATATAAAAGAATTATATATAATTAATACTGCATGTAGCTTAGGGTGACATTAAAATTTTCATCCCTCGAAAACCATTGTGATCCGCAGGTTCGTTTCAGTTGACAATTAGTTTATTATGGTGAAAATTTTCAAGATAACCCTCAACTACAAGCATGCAGTATAAATTTGAACGATGAGGGTTCTTTTTTCATTTTTTTTTATTCTTACCAATCCAGTAGTTGTTCTTTGGATCCCCAAAACCTTTTTTGTACTCTTTCCAAGTTCGATAGAAATCAGTTGATCCGTCTATTCTCTTCTGTATAACCTACAGAAATGTTTAAATCTGCTTAATTGTAGTTCGGTGTGTTCAGCATTTTTACGGAATTTTAGGAAATTTCTATTATAAAAATGCAACAAATTGAAATTCGCTTTTAAATTCCTCTACATAACAAAAAGATTACAAATATAATATTGACGGAGTACTAATGAAAGGAAAAAAAAACATCGAATATCTCAGTGCATGGAATAAGGTACAATAAGACCAAGTTAGAACTGAAGTAATGTAAAAACGAAGAACACATCTCAACAAGCCAAACCAATGAGGTATTTTAGGTAAAAAAAATGTCCAAAATTTCGTTAAGGTAAAAGTGAAATATTGAACTCATTAATTTTTCAAATCAATTATTTCCTAATCACGGATCTTTTCCTTGAAGTTACATGTATGTAGTAGCAAGTCACACGATGTACTTGGAATCATCTTACTTTGAAATTAACTAGTCCTACTCGATACTTAGGAGCACTTTCTGTGTACGATCGATGGCAGGCCTCTAACAGATAACTTAATGTTACGGTGATTTTAGTAACTTCGTTAAAAGTCAGCATTTTTGCAAATAATATTATTGTTTTAATGACCCTGTTAGCAAATATAACCTATCAAAGTGTTGCATTTCGGATCGACTGACATATTTCATACCAGTTGTATCGTCTTTTATACTAAATGTGACTACGGCTTACTCCATCTTCCTGATAAATACATTTGGTGTACGGTCGACAGGGGATGCTAACTTTTCTTACACACCTGATTCTATCTCTGGAATTTCCAAGAGTGTTTCTTTTAGTTCATGTTCACAAATTTTCCTCTTTGTTTAGATCCACTACTGTTTTGTCATCTTTACATATTCTATTTTTTGAGGAAATTGTAGTTTTTCTTTTTGTTAGAAGTACAATTTTTACGTAGCAATACTGATCGCTCATTTGAGCACTGTGGCTAGGAAAAAGTAGAAATTGGTTTATCATTAAAAAGTTCAAATCCAAAAGAAGTCCCTCCCATGACCAATCATGGATTTGGTATTCTTGAAAAGATGATTTTTAAAGAATTTTACTTTATATTTCTATGTAAAACTTGGGTCGGCCATTGTGCCCTGCCCTACCCCCGGGGGTCATGACTTGAACAAACTTGAACTACACTACCTGAGAATGCTTTCATATAAATATATTGAATTATGCCTTTGCTATTCTTGAGAAGAAGATTTTTCAAGAATTTTCCTATATATTTTAATGTTAACTTTGGTCGGTCATTTTGTCCCCGCCCTACCCCTGGGGGTCATGATTTGAACAAAAATGAATCTACGCTACCTGAGGATGCTTCTATATGAAAATGATCGTTCCTGCCATTGCTATTCTTGAGAAGATTATTTAAAGAATTTCCCTTTCTATTTCTTTGTACAACTTTGGTTTGCCATTTTGGCCCCGCCCTACCCCAGGGGGTCATAATGAGTAAAAACTTGAATATACACTACCTGAGGATGCTTCCATTTAAATTTTAAATTTGATGAATTATGGCTTTGTCATTCTTGAGAAGAAGATTTTTAAAGAATTTTCCTATATATTTCTAAGTAAAGCTTTGGTTGGCAATTTTTGGCCCTGCCCTACCCCCGGGGATCATGATTTGAACAAATTTGAATCTACACCACCTGAGGATGTTTCCCCATTAGTTTTATCTTTCCTGGCCCAGTGGTTCTTGAGAAGAAGATTTTTAAAACATGCCGCCAAATTTTCATTAATTCCCAATTATCTACCCTTGAATAGGGTGTGGCCCTTCATTTGAACAAACTTGAATCCCCTTTACCCAGGGATGCTTTGGGGCAAGTTTGGTTGAAATTGGCCCAGCTGTTCTTGAGAAGAAATCAAAAATGTGAAAAGTTTACAGACAGACACATAGACAGACGGACAGACAGACAGCTAGAGTAAGACGAACGCCGGACAGAATGTGATCAGAAAATCTCACTTGAGCATTCGGTTCAGGTGAGCTAAAAATGTTAGGGGAGACAGGGTACTCTGCTCTCGGTAACGGGTCTCTTTCGTGTCTGTCATGAGACCTCAGTGATTTTTAAGGTCTCCATGTACCATAGTGGGATTCTAACACAGGACGTATCGATCAAATCATATAGATTTATTGACTGTTTGTTAAAACAACTTTGCTCTCGAGAATTTTTCACTGGTCTCCCCTGTAGGATTCGAACCCGCGACGTAAGGATCGATTCTTTACTCCTCAAATCGAGAACAGACGATCTCATCACTGCGCCACGCGGGTGACGAGCAAACGTTCTAAACGCTGCGCCACTTGGTTAACTTGATTAAAGTGAAAACTTTTCATTGTGCATTTAAATCGCATATAGGTACCTTTCCATATTTTCAATAAAAATGTGCGTATGTGATTGATTTTTTTTAATATGAAAAATAAAGTGTTCGATTTGTAATATACCTGATAACTGAGACCATAATTCCAATGATGATTCAAAAGTCATTTAGTTTTGCTACTTTTTTATCAGATGGCAAATAATACTCACCGTCCAGCCGCCCCCGTCTGTGGTCATGTCACAATAAACTGAAGTGTTTTTTAAACCAACTGCAATACTATAGACACCATTTTTTCCTTTCAGAATTGGATTTTTTATCAGCATTTCATAGCAATTCCTGTGGATCAGACCTAAGTCAAATGGAGAAAACATACAAAGATAATGAAATTTAAGTTTTGGAGAATACATGGTAATTTAGAGATTGGGTCCTTAAATTCTGATATAATACAGCCACGAGTGAAATTATAATTCAGCAACTTATCAAAGTTAAATGCAGTATATTTTCTTAATTAAATGGCATAAATATTGATGGTTATAGATATGGTTGATTTTCGATCTAGTATGATGTATTTATTCGCCAACATATGATGGTATATAGTCAAAAGCAGATCTAGGAAATGCATAAACACAGAAGATAAATAAGAAAATTAGGAAATTATCCTCTCTTACAAATTTTATCTTACAGATTACATGTACATGTCCATTCGAGATTTTTTTTTACTCATAGAGTCGTCACCATATGTCGGTGAAGGGCTTCAAAATTTGACCTTTACTTGTCACTCAGTACCATTTAGCAGTTAGGGATCTTTATCATGCAACGCCTGTCGTGAGACGGGGTCTCGGTCTTTATGGTCTCACCCAATGGACCGCAACTTTCACTTCAAAGTGCTTAGCGCATGGCGAAGGAACAGTTGCTACCCATTTTTATCGACTTAGGTCAGTCGCGACTGAGATTCGAACTCACGACTCCCAGACACTTTAAAATTCAGGGTATTCAAACTTTTTTTCTTGTGTAGGATTCATTCAGCCTGTCTGCAACACTATTAAATGATAATTATATAAACTTTTTAATTGCACGAGTATTAAAGTATCAATATATTTCATTCATAGACATATAGTCCATAAAACTTTCACTTGTAACAATATTTATAATGGCTCACAATAGTGTAAACACATATGATTTTTTCGCATGACGAATTGAAATGAAGAAGAAGAGAGAGAGAGAGAGATCGTGTTGATTTTAGGGTGCTCCATTATTAAATGATTCTAATGTTAAGGGATGTGGTACATGTCTCGCTCTGCAGACCATAATACAGAGGCGATCGACGTAAGCCTATACATGTACTTACAAATGACACTGTCAATACCAGAATTCTTTCAAAACACCCCTAATGAAAAGCATAAAGTTAAATAAGAGACATATTATCTTCAAACCCTATTAAAATTTGCGCAAAAATCTCCCATAGTTTGAAGTTGGAAGTACGATAGATACTGTCACAACGGAGACTTAAATACAATGAAATTTTCAATGGAAGCGTTAGCGTATCGAACAGCAGAAGGTCACGTGAGAAAGGTGATTTAAGGAATTACTATCTAGTTTGGAGATTATGTTAGGGCATCAAAAACATAGTGGGAAACATTGGATAACGAAGCCCGTTATGCTAAAATTATCCCATGTTTCCCACTATTGTTGATGTCCCTGGCATACTCTTCTAACCAGACAGTGATTCCTTATATTTCCATTTCATTGTGAATTAAAATTGTAGATTTAATCTTTAAAAATGTAGACATAGATTTAAATTACATGAGGACTCCCATGGCAATTTCAATAGTCCTCGCCTATGGACGTCAAACACAAAGACAGTTGCACGAGATGTCCATGCCTATTTGGCCTCCCTAGCGTCAGACACAGAGACAGATGCGCACGAGATTTGCATGCATATTAGGCCTTCTTAGCTCCTGACCTATCGACCTGTCTAATTTACATTCCGGCAGAATTATTAAGAAATCAACTTTTTTAACTTTTAAAGAGTTATCACAGAGAGGAAAATTAGAAATGGAAATAATATAATATCAATCATTGTTGCTCGGTGATCGGTTAATTTAGTAGCTATCTCGATCCCAGTTTGGGGACAATTTTTTAAAAATTAAATATGAGCCGCAACTTTGCCAACATTCTCCTTTGGATTTGTATAAGTTTAAGTTAAAATGCACATTCTGTGCAAATAAGAAAAATGGCGAAGTTGCGGCTCGATGTAAACAAAGTCGTTGAAAACTGGTATGCATATGAATAACAATAGAAATGAGACAAAAATGTTAGACCCCCGTCTCAAAAGCTAGTGTAGCTCGGCATTATTTAATACTTTCATGTAATATAATATACCAAAACCTGCTCTTTAGATATTGTTTAATACCTATAAAACATAAATTTAATGAATTTTGGAATTTTATTTTGTGCAAAACATCGGGATCCAACTCTCATAGCTTAAGTGCAGTCATTCTTTATTACCAAAACATACTTTCAATATACATTGTTGTATAGATGTATTTATTGTGTTACCAATTATTTCACAATTATTTGCTCCGCTCCTATTTTGTACTGTTTTATGGACTTTGATATTCAATACTGTTCGGTAGATCTCCATATCCTTTATTCCATGCCCATTCATGATGATCGCCTCAATTTTCATTTTAACATCGGGTTCGATACCATCTGACTTTCTAGAACTTTCAATAAAGCGTGAGATCGGGATTTGCACACTTTGTTTTTTGATCAGTAATAAAAGCTTATTTCTTTTATATCACTTTATGGAATGCCATATACGACAGCCAACTGCTTACTGCCAACTGCTGTCTGCTTACTGTCAACTTTCAGCTGCTTACTGCCAACTGCTACACAAACTTGAATAAATTTTAATTTTATATTGATATTTATTCAAATTTTCACACACACACACACACACACACACACACACACACACACACACAAAAAGGCGCGGATCTAGGACATTTTTCCAAGAGAGTCACTCTGGGAAAAAAAAATCAAGCCCAGAAATTTCTTGACAAGAAAATAAAACGTAAAGTCCTTTCCTAGATGTGAAAATTTATTTCGGCTGGGGAGAGGGGGTTATTATGCGTCGCACCTTCATGTCTATGACATTTTTTTATACCAACTTAACATGAATTCGCGTTTTCAGGGTGGGGTGGGGGGCTCTAAGGTCCCTTTAAGTTCATTTAATTGATACATTAAATAACTTTTAGTTTGTTTAGTTTGTGCATTAAATAACTTTACAAATTTCAGAGGGGTGATCTGGGCCCCTCTCTCTAGATCTAAGCATGTAAAACACATCTTATTTGTAAAAACAAATACATATAGATATATCAAATGTTTGATCGGCTTTCTCTAAGTAGAGGGTCCAATGTCAGTTTTAGTTCGTTTAGATACATTTACCCATGACTGTAAAAATTATAAATGCCCCCCCCCCCCCAAGATCTATGCATATGAAACTTTATAACACACAGAGGTATAAATCTTCAATTTGAGGAAATTTTTAACTATAGAGTATATTGGAAAATGTAAATTTATTTTCAAAACATCTCTCTCTGCGAAACCACAAATCCTTTTTTATTTTTCTCTCTTCAAAGGTTTTGTTGTCTCCCGGGGGGGGGGGGGTTACTTCTTTAAAGATTAAAAGCAGAAAATAGAAATAGTAATTTATTTACCTATTTCAAATAAGAAAATAAATAGAAAAAAACCAATGTACTTTATCAATCGCATGTTTTGAGTATTTCGTAAGATAAAACATATTGGTCATTTAATCAATTTAATTTTACTAGGGTGACCCTCTTGGAAAAATTTCCTGGATCCGCGCCTTTTTTACTTTCCTTTTTTTTTGAAAATTCATATTAATATCAATATCAATATAAAATTTAATCAAATATGTGTGGCAGTCGGCAGTAAGCAGCTGACAGTTGGCAGTAAGCAGTCAGCAGTTGGCAGTAAGCAGTTGGCTGTCGTATATGGCATTCCATATCACTTATATCAGGTTTTGATTAAATAATCCATTGATGATGTTAAATAAAATAATTAAACTCTTGCTTGTTCTCAGTTTCATTGAAAATGCCTATCTCTTAGATCCGACAAACCGGAACCACACCGTACTCTGTTTTTTGCTAATTCGAGGCTGTTTACCGAAAAATGAAAGTAGATTTTTAATTAAACTTACAATAATTACTAAGCGAGCGAAATCTGAATAAAGTTTACGGACATCACCTTATACCTTGTGTATTCCTAAAGGAGTAAGTAAGAACTCTAGTGCAGCCGTTCCATAGTTTATTTGCAAAATGTATTAATTTATAAGTATATAGATACTAGTAGTAGGCATAGTTGATGTGTTAAAAAACATTACAACATAAATACACTACAAAACTATAAATGGAATGGTATCTTAAGCTCTGTAAAATATATTAAAGAAATCATCCTGAGTGATTATCAAATACCAAAATATGCTCAGTTTAATTCACATTAAGGTTTCAGTGTGCCAAACTAAAGATTAACATGTTGCAAAGAATCTCAAGTATGCAATAAATATTACACAGTAAGAAATACATAACAGCATTAGTACACAACAAAACTATAAAAAGAATGGTAACTTAAGGAGGCTAGGGGGTCAACAATTTAACCACAAAGTAACCACCAGATTTAACTTATTTTTTTAGATATGGTATCTTAAGCTGTCAACATTCATTTGACAAAGAAAAAAAATCATAAATTTTAGTTTTAAATTTTGATCATTTTTTATATCTTTATATGGAGCTCTCCTTTTAAAGGAGATAGAAATAGTCTGAAAATGGCTGCCACCCCCCAGCCTCGTTAACATATAACGTACCTGTGGTCAGTGAAGAGGACAGGCTTAAAACTTGCTGATTTAGAACTTTATGATCCTCAAGTAACCCGTCCATGGTCTCATTGATAGATACAGAAACAGTCTTTATGGAATTTTCTATCTCCTCATACACAGAACCGTTGATAACTCTCAGACTGTTTTTGACATCATTTAATTGTTTTCTAAAGAAGTCATTTTCTTTTGACAATTCTTGGTTTTTATTTCGGACGTCCGATTCTCCATTTTTTAATTGCTTAACGTCTTCAAGTAAGGCTTTATAAGTAGAATTCAATGTGGTCAACACCTGTTTAAGTTTTGTAACCTCGGTTTCTATACCGTTGTCTCTTCTATCCAATTTTTTCAACTCCTTGGTCAAGATTTTCATTTTTTGCTTCACTACCTGAGAGTTGTTTTTGTTGTCTATAACGTCCATGACCAAGTTCTGGATTCTCTGAACCATAGAAAACCTCACTAAGCTCTCCTGGTTCAGAATGTCCCGTAAAACACTGGACACTTTTCCTCCGGACGTCGTACTTCCGTCCAAAATAGATTTCTCTAGAATGTCACTGACAGCAGAGACTTGTCCACTTAATGATACATTCAGCCAAAGCAATATACATAAACTCCGTAGAATATACATTTTTGTAAGATGGGTCTCAATCGCTTGCATGTAAAGAATGAAATATTTCTTCTAATAAACGCGAGATTTATATTTTGACAAAATAATGTGGGGTATCCCAGTCGTGTGCCAGGGCATTGACGTAATAAGAATTCTTTCATACAGTATTTATGTGACCCCACCTGTTGATAAATATGAGCAGTTCACAGAAATTAGTGGCACTTATCTTTATTTTCTTACGGTTGAAAAATTAAAGTAAAAGGTTGTCTTCTTTCTAGTGAATAGTACGCCGTTGGTACTATGATTACGTTGTTTCAAGATAATTTTGTGAAATTAAACAGATAAGATGTGTCTGGAATCGATCAAGATTTACGTCAGCTTCAGTATCATATACCGTTATGCTTTTCTTCAACATTATCATCATCAAAAAATGTTTATACATCTACACATAATTTAATTTTAGTTCTAACACGTCATTTGCTCGGATAAAAAAACTCTGTACATATCCTATACTTTAAGATAAGCTTCATTCCTTTACTATTATTGAAACGGAGACTGTTTTTTTTTTTTTACGAAAGCCCATTTAGCTTATTTTCGTAGTTTAAAAAAATGTTTCGCGTTATAAGGCAAAACTTTTGCGATATAACGCGTAGTCTAGCATTTTAACGCGAAAATTTTCCAAATTAACGCGAAACTTTTGCTGTTTAACCAAGATATTTACATAAGTCTTTACTTTATTTTGATTTTGTTATCTAGTTTATTCATTATGTGATACCCTGTACTTAGTTAGAAAATGTTTATTTTGTATTGTTTGTAAATATTATACTGTATATGTTTGAATTTATTTCAGTTTAAATAAATGACTTTTAAAATATACTTATAAAAAGAAATACGAATTAGCCTGTGTTTGATTTATTCATATGAGCTACTATTTTAAGACCTTTTGACACGGGTGACTGGTATTGAGTTGATCTTGGTTTTTGTACATGTAAGTTCATTCCCGTGCTGGTTGTTTCCCGGGCTAGTCGCTGTTTGACACAGGTGACAGGTATTGAGTTGATCTTGGTTTTTGTACATGTAAGTTCATTCCCGTGCTGGTTGTTTCCCGGGCTAGTCGCTGTTTGACACAGGTGACTGGTACTGAGTTGATCTTGGTTTTTGTACATGTAAGTTCATTCCCGTGCTGGTTGTTTCCCGGGCTAGTCTCTGTTTGACACGGGTGACTGGTATTGGGTTGATCTTGGTTTTTGTACATGTAAGTTCATTCCCGTGCTGGTTGTTTCCCGGGCTAGTCGCTGTTTGACACGGGTGACTGGTATTGAGTTGATCTTGGTTTTTGTACATGTAAGTTCATTCCCGTGCTGGTTGTTTCCCGGGCTAGTCTCTGTTTGACACGGGTGACTGGTATTGAGTTGATCTTGGTTTTTGTACATGTAAGTTCATTCCCGTGCTGGTTGTTTCCCGGGCTAGTCGCTGTTTGACACGGGTGACTGGTATTGAGTTGATCTTGGTTTTTTGTACATGTAAGTTCATTCCCGTGCTGGTTGTTTCCCGGGCTAGTCGCTGTTTGACACGGGTGACTGGTATTGAGTTCTGATTGGTTATCTTGGTTTTTGTACATGTAAGTTCATTCCCGTGCTGGTTGTTTCCCGGGCTAGTCGCTGTTTGACACGGGTGACTGGTATTGAGTTGATCTTGGTTTTTGTACATGTAAGTTCATTCCCGTGCTGGTTGTTTCCCGGGCTAGTCGCTGTTTGGAGATTTGTAATTTTGTGAAGTCTAATCCTTACAATCAACTTATGTAGAGTTTTGGGTCTTTGAATTTAAGGTTTGTCTTATTAGTTTTTTATTCATTACGGAGTATACGTACTTATTTTCCTTTATTTCATTTAATTGCCGTTCGAGTTCGTATGTATGGCAAGATCGTATATTGTGTAAGAGTGTATTCAGTTTAAACTTTTAAATCTAGGCTAAAGTTATGTAACACAGAATAAAGGTTACAAAGCCTAATATATTTATTATACAGGGAAACATGTCAGAAATGAACCAACGCCTTGCATTTACATAAGTTTGACCTATACACCTCATGTGAGGTAAGGGTATATGTGTGTTTATTATTTGCATGATATTGAGTTTCATGTTATTTTCTATGTCTATAAATTATTTCAGCTCTGTTTAATGAAAGTTTAATTCGTTGATTCTGTTTATAATTCATTATTTCTAAATCGGAAGTATGAAATGCATTTTTCATATTTTGTAAGAGTTACTCAGTAATATTTCCATACGGTAATATCAGTATAATTTTCTTATTATTTTTGGATAAACTAATTATAAAGATGATAATGTGAAATCAAATTTAAGTGTAATATATTACGACCAGAGATATGATTTTAAATAAACATGTTAAATATTTGTTTATATAACATGTACTGATTTTAAATATTTTTGTTACAGGGTTATATTTAGTGTGTATTCGCAAAATAAAATAATCCTCCAAAAGAACCCAGGCATATCCTTGTTTGTTATTGGGAAAACAGGGGTTACAGTTACAAAGAAAAGCAAAAGGACTTTTTGATCTTTGAACATCACAAGCTACAATTTTAAGTTTTCTTGCTATTGAATCCATCTCATCGTCACATTTTGTCTTTCTCATCGCTGTTTACATCATACAAATTTAATGCGAGTTTTTGTAAAGTTAAACTTCATAATGATGAATTTGGGGAAAAAAATCCACCCTGTCATGCGTCTTCTTATACACTCTTTAGAGAATTTGATAGAAAATTGTTAAGATTAAGATCTAAGAAAATTGACAAAATGAGGTAAATTTGTCAATTGTGTCCCACCACATGGGTGAACATTGGATGGCAAATTTTCATTTGTCTCCGTTAGATTCACTGTAGAAATAGGTTTTGAAATAAAAAAAAATTATGATGACTTATCTATCCTTTTCTAACATCATTTCTCCAAGACATCTTCTGAGGAAATGATATTTTATAAATAAATTCATGAAAGTTCCTGTCAGCGTTCATGTTTTTATCTGTCAGTGAAGATCAATGTTCCTGAAAAACATTATTATATGCATATAGTTTTGCGTTAAGTCGCAAAAAGGTTCGATTTGATTCGCGAAAGTAACGCGTTTATTCGCGAAGGTTTCGCGTTATAACGCGAAAATTTAATTGTTTTAACCTACGAAAATGAGCCCAATGGACTTTTGTAGGTTTTTGTGATTTAATTTCGTATAAAACGATAGACATACGTTTTCTTTTAATTTTAGTTGATTCGATACGCAAGAGCGTGCTTTACATATGAATAATTTCTAAAATGAGGTAAATTATTGACAATTAACAAGTTGATGAAACAAGAATATCAGTAGTCTCGTTTAAAGTCATCATTTCGTAAGTTCTATGATCGATACAATGACCTCGTCAGCAAATACATTTTATCATTGAGTCAAATGCTGACTTACGTTTTTCATACTAATTGTTATTCCATTATTTATACTCTGAATTGATGACGGATTTTCCCGATATTTCCCGATCATGACAAGGAGCACATGGCGGGTGTGACTGGTCAGCAGGGGATGCTCACTCATCCATGGCACTTCATGGCGTCCTTATTTTTTGGAGGTCCGTGTTTGCTCTGCTCCTATTTTGTACTGTTTTGTGGACTTTGATATTGAATACTGTTAGTTATCTCCATATCCTTCATTCTTAAACACACACAAAAAAAATTAATTTTACGATCATACAAATAGTTTGAAACTCCCTATATATACTAAGACTGCACTGAGGTAATACATGCTGTATGAGAGGAAGCTCAGGATACATATTTGGTGACAGAGTTGGTAAAACCTGGCTGTTTATTCTCTTAAACATTGTGATAAGACCTGAATAAGGCACCCAGTTGCGGGGGATTGGCAGTAAATGTTATATATTATGAACTAATACGTAAGACCTGTATAAGGCAGTGGGTTAATAAAAAGAGAGGTGGCATATCACAGAAGTAGAGGGAGTGCCAGGAAGCAGCAGTACCTGTATTTTACACAGGTGTAAAAAGGTCTTGTTCAAATCGTGTTATATAAAGGCAAACATTTGCAATTGTAAATATTTGAAAATCATGTATGCAGAGCCATTCATTAGATATCGTAATGATAGTGGCTACGGGTATACATTTAGTAATTAACATAGTTGTCCTTCATTTTTGAACGAAATATAGCACAGGTACAAGGTTACCACCAACATGTGTCCTGTAACATAATTCTAGCTTTACACATGCGTCAAAACTTAATTCGAATTAGCTTAATTCGCTTAAGCGTTCACACGTAGGTAATGCCAATTTAATGCACAGTAAATTAATTCAAATGAAACTAATTCGCATCAAATTCTCCGTGTGAACGTGATTCAAATTTGATTCGCAGTAACTTACGCAAGACCATGTTCTACGTAATAACCATTTCTAAAAAACGAGGTACACTATTGACAAACAAGTTTGCTAAAACATGGAATTTGATGATTTACAACGTTCCATCAAGAAAGCATTTTTAGCATAAAATCCTAATTTAGAATAACGTCGACCTAGCAGTTCAGGCCTGGGGGCCATAAGCTCTCACTTTTGATCCCAGTCTCACTTTTTCTAAAGGAATTAATAGTGGAAAAGTGAGACTGAGATCAAGAGTGAGATCGTCAGGCCTGATCTTATCTTCTTTCTCAGATGTATACTTGAAAATAACTACAAACAAATCATCAGTTATAAGCGCAGCGATGGGGCACGTCCGTCACCAGAAATTACAGATATAGGCCCCCTATGGACGTAAGTATGGCATGTCTAACCTTGCAATATTCCATTTGTTTTTATTTGTATTGTATAATTTTTCATTTGTATTGTAAAATTTTTCATGTATTTTGTAAAAAAAATAATTTGTATTGTATAATTTTTATTTGTATTCTATATTTTTCATTTGTATTAAATTGTAAAATTATTTATTTGTATTGTATATTTTCAATTTGTATTGTATAAGTTTTTATTTGCATTATATTAACATTCAGTGTAATTTTTCTTATGAAGCCCATTAGAAATCCACGACGTTCAAATTTCAATAACACACGCAAACCTTG